TATATATATATATATAATACGAAAGAAGTACTTTCTTTCGTATATTAATACATCTTCAGAAGAGTGATTTTACAGATCGAGTACTGTAGAATCACTCCTTCTGAAGATGTATTAATATACGAAAGTACTTAAGGAAATTCCTGTTTCATTTTTCTCAGTGGTCTGACATTGTCACATTTTTATTCACGGTTTATTTTCGTGATACACACACACACACACACACCACACATATATATATATATATATATATATATATATATATATATATATATATATATATATATATATATATATCTATATGATATATATATACTATACTACACCAACCCGTTCTCGCAAATTTAATAAGTCAATATTGACTTATTAAATATGTGCATAGGTGACATACTTAACATAATAGTTTCCCTTGAAAAGCTTCATAGAAAACACCGACCTTACCTAACCTTCTTAGTAGGTTAAGATAAGCATCTTATTGCTTCGTAATTACAATTATTACCTAACCTATACCTATAATAGGTTAAGTAACAATTGTAATTACGAAGCTATAAGATGCTTATTTTAACATACTAAGTAGGTTAGGTAAGGTCGGTTTTTCTATGAAGCTTTTCAAGGGAAACTATTATGTTTAGTATGTCACCTATGCACGCAACTAATAGTCACTATTGACTTATTAAATTTGCGAGAACGGGTTGATATATATATATATATATATATATATATATATATATATATATATATATATATATATATATATATAATATACACACACATACTCGGAGCTGAATAGCGTTACCGGTTCCACTACTCTACTCGAGGACTAAATTCCAACATTACATCCTATATTATGAATAACAGTCCTCTAATCCTCTTACTGAAATCGTTTCGAATAATTGAGTTAAAATGAATCCATGATGTGCAGCTCATTTTATATATTATCATTATACGTTCTTGTTATTTATATTTAAGCGGATTACAAATAATTAGCATTAAAAATGCTATTATATTTGTTAATAGGAGAAAGCTCTTCCCAATAAATTATGTGAACAATTTCTAAATAATTAAAGAATAAAGCAGTTGATGTTTGGCCATTTCTATCACAGCATATATTATATCATTCAAATGTCTGTTCAGAATTTCTCGGCTTTCTAGTAAATTCCTCGATGTTAAACTTTAAATTTAAAAAAATCAAGTATTAACAGTATCTTGAAAACCAGATAAAAGATGGTTATAAAAGAATTGTTGTAGTTTTAATTGACACTAATAAAGCTGAAAGCTCCAAAATACATGAAAAAAAATATAAATTATATATCACTAACAACTGTTGTGTATAGAGTAATAATGAATGTACAATTAATATACTTTCTGTTTATAGTTTAACTAGGAACAAAATCCTCCTTGTATTAACACATTATGGAATGTAGACAATTATTAAGTTTTTACAATAAATTTACTTCTGTAAACTTTATTATTTAGTTCCCCAAAAGGAGATATTGGCGTCCGTGTCTATGTATACTGAAGGCATTGAAGACGAGACACTACTGATTTCATATAATTTTTAATTTACCTGTATAATTGGGGACTGAGAGCCCTAATGCTTTCAGTATATTGGCAAGACTGCAAGATCTATTTCAAACGACGGCCTTATATCTTACAGTTTTCATACTCCATATTTCATGGTCAAGGTGGTTGGGCACCTTTTTTTTCACTCCGTCCTAACATACACGTGTGTCGAAACCCACCCACTTCACTTTAAAAGGAAAAATATTAAGGAAACTGTCTCAA